ATCAAACTGCTTATTTTTATGTTGATTACTTTTATTATAGTAAGACTCTTGCATTAGGATTAAGTGATTTGAGGCCTGCTTTAACCATCGTTAGCTCATTTATGCCCATTATAGGATCAACGAGTTTGTAACACTTGAGATTTAATTTAAACGGATTAATAACACTACTCATACCAACAAGGTGCATCTCCTTTTAAGGGAGCTCATCAGCTAAGAACTCCAAAGTTAAGCATGCTTGCACGGGAGTAGTCTTGGGATGGGTGACCCCCTGAGAAGTTTCTCACGGCGCGCACGAGTGAGGACAAAGTGCACGGAAAAGGCTAGTGGTGGTTTGTGAGGACAGTACTAGAGGTCTGGAGGGTGTGTATGAGTAACTACGTACCTCGGGCCCTACGGGGCGGGGTGTTACAGGTGGTATCAGAGCAACCCTGCGACAGTGTGCTGATCCGTTGGATATCGAGCAGACACTTAGCAGGGGGAAAAGATTCTGGGATTTGATTGAGATTGATTTACAAGTGCAACGAGGATTTTGCGTTCCTAAGTGGGGGTGATTGTAACACTTGAGATTTAATTTAAATGGATTAATAGTACTACTCATACTAACAATGTGCATCTCCTTTTAAGGGAGCTTATTGGCTAAGAACTTCAAAGTTAAGCATGCTTGCACGGGAGTAGTCTTGGGATGGGTGACCCCTGGGAAGTTTCTTAGGGCGCGCATGAGTGAGGACAAAGTGCGCGGAAAAAGCTAGTGGCGGTTTGTGAGGACAATACTAGAGGTCTGGAGGGTGTGTATGAGTAACTACCTCGGGCTGATATTACTTTTTTAAGATGATTGACTCTAGGTCTGATTCGAGGGCTGACGGTTGTCTGTGGTCCATTTGTCGTTTAACTCTCTATCAGAATGCTAATGTTGTTATATCAATTTAAGTCCCCTTCTTCCAAAAAAATATGATTGTGATTTATTGCGAACATTAAACCCTTCTTCACATTAGCCCTTTCATGTTCCGTTTGTAGTAATCCTGTTGTTTATAGGGTATGTTTGGCACAACTAGCTTAAAAGATACTTTTGTGAACTTTTTAATAACTGTTAGCTTTTAGTGACTGAAAAGATCTTGAAGAGAAAATGTGGTAGCTATTTGGGAAAAAGTTAACTGTTTGATTTAGTTCGGTTTGATATACAAGTTGTTAGGACTAATTAATACTAAAAGTCACGAGCTTTTTTCAGATGCTACTCCTGTAGCATCTCAAAAAAGATCTTTTAATTTTTGAAAAGCTCTTAAAAATTATCATGCCAAACATATAACTAGAAGCTTTTAGAGACTTTTTGAACAATACAAAAGCTAGAAGAGACTTATGCCTGCTAAACATAGCCATAATATTCGGAGTATATATTTTTGAGTTGTGAATACTTTTTTATTACAGTCTAACTTCTTTTTTTAGTTAGTGTTTTTTGTAGTTGACTTGAATATAAGCTCTTACTCTTGTAAAACACTTCTAACATTTATTTTTGTATTTAATCTTTTTATGCAATTAAAGTTATATTATATACTCCCATAGAGTATTAAGAAAAGCTGTCCCTCCTTGACTGAAATTCTGAATCCTCCCTTGCATGCATGTTAGTATCGTCCAATTCTAAAATTTTAAATTTGATTTGCTTTATTTAAATTAGGTTTGGTTTCATATGCAACTAAAATCACTCTAATTGAAAGCATCTCAATTTAAAATTTTAGTCACTGATTTTTATCAAATTGGCATAATATTTCATATTGGCGGCTATTTTATCTTCTCACTGTTGATTCTGCGTGAAATTTAAGAAATCAAGATTATGCAATTTGCGGTTTAGAAACGGAAAATGTCAACATGATCGATACTGTTTTTTCCTTAAATGAGATTATTATATTCGGGTTTGTTTTACAAAAATATTACTAAATAAAACTTATTTAGACATATATGACTATTAGTTACTACAATGTAGTATCATAGTTATAACTTAAGTTTAAAAAGTGAACACAAGTTATTTTGATTTCATTACTACTCTGGTCAGTAATCACATTTTCGTAAACCAGTTTTTGTTTTAATTATAAATATATAATTATCTTATTAAAAATTTAAAGGAATTAATTGAGTATAATCCAAATAAGCATACATGAGCTGACTAGCTGAGACAGATTCAGCACGCTAAAAGCACATCAAACGTTGATATCATGGTCCGGCCGATGAAGGAGCAAAAGTCTCGCTTTTGAGGAAAGAGCTTCAAAAGTTGTTAGGTCATGAAATATGAATTGAAATGCTTTCAGGGCTCCTCCGTTTGGGGCCAACGTGATCGTGAAGTCGAAGGTATAGTAGCGACTAATTAAAGTTGTCTAGGATAAAGGTCAGATAGGGGCTCGAACTTTCAAAAAATGTCAAATAAGGTCATATATATGATTCTCTGTACGTCTGATGTCATTTGGGCTGCTTCCCGGTTAAATTTTTCGATGAAATTTTTTTAGCATATCATTCATTAAGTCTAGTTTACTCATATCAAATTTGAACTAAAAATTCAATCGGGAAAGCATTCAAATGAATTCTTCAAAATAACTGCGCAGTTAAAAGCTCAGTTATCTTCAAGAATTTATTTGAATGCCTTCTCGATTGAATTTTTAGTTCAAATTTGGTATGACTAAACTAAACTTAATGAATTAGATTCTCAAAAACATTCATCAAAAAATTCCATCGGGAACCGCCCCAAATGGCGTCGACCGGACAGATCATCTTATATAAGACCTTATTTGACATTTTTTTGTAAGTTCGAGGCCCTATGTGACCCTATATACGTTAACGTTAACCCATGAGTCCATCATACTATGACTACTATGAGCCCTTGATAGCCTAGTTACCATATACTAGTATATAGACATTTATGAACGCATTTAAAACGTTTTTAAAATAAAATTTGTGTTTTAAACAAAAACAAAGTCTAGTTGTGAGTGTGAGTGCGTGTGCATTCCTATTTGAGGTCTACACGACTACACACACATAAGTTATACGGTTGGATTTGGTTTACCCACTATTTTGATGTACACACTATTTTGGAGTCAAAATAAGTTTTGTCCGTAGAGACAAAAAAAAGTATGTAAAATTGTGTAACACCAAAAGAGTGTGTACAAAAAAAGTATTTTGCTAAGTTCTAATCCTCTATCACACGTTTCTTAGGTTATTTCATTGAGTCGCTCACTAATGAGTCCATATCAATCTCCTATTGATAGAGGTCAAATTACAAGTTACGTACAACTTCAAATGGTAGTATATTAATTAATACAGAATATATTATCCATGAGGAAAATTTACAGTTTTAGTTCAATTAATATTAGTTGTGTTTTTTTAGTATCGTAGTTTTCTTCACTGGTAGATTTGGTAATGTGACTAATAAATATCTACCCCTCAGTCCCATATTGTAAGATACATTTATTATTCACTTGGTCAACATAAATCACTCTTAAGCTTTTACTTTATACGAGTATATAAAAAATTTATGAAATTTGAATTACTTTTTGCAGGTTTTGTAGCGGTTTTAATGTTGTTTCTGAATATGTAAATTTTATTTTCTAAACTAATTTGAGTGTTGACAGGGATCAATTTGCTTTATCGTCGGTCAAACATTGTAAACCGTAAAGTATCTTACAAATTGGGACGAAGGGAGTATATTAAAAAGTTTTTCACCTGTACACACATTTTTCAGTTGTTATACCGTATGACCGGTATACGGTGAGCACCGTATACCGGCATACGGTTTTATTATTTTTTCACTTCTCTTTTTTTTTTGTAAAAAAGGTAATAACTTTTTTATTTTTGATCCGATTTTTATAAAATTTATATCAACATTTTTTATTTTTCATGATCTTTCAAATGAGGCCAATATTGCCTATGTAATTTTAACATATTATCGAACTATTATATTAACCTATGTAAAATATGTAATTTTACGTGTAGAAATATGTAACTCACGTCCAGTCAGGCCAAATGCAACGCGTGTGTATAAATATGTAACTCTACGTGTAAAAATATGTAACTTTACGTGTAAAAATATGTAACTTTAAGATAAATTGTGATTTACACAATTATTTTTCTGTATTAAATTTTGTTTGATTTTCCTTATAATCCAATAATCATTTATAATAATAGTTCCATAATTTGTTAAAATATCATAAGCAATATTGGTCTCATTTGATAGATCATGAAAAATAAAAAAAAATTAATATAAAATTTATAAAAACCGGATATGAAATAAAAAAGTTATTACAATTTTTAACAATAAAAGGAATAAAAAATAATGGAATCGGGCCACAATACTCCGTCTTTTTGCAACCGGGCGCACCATCCTCATGGTGCGCCAGTTACACGATATAATTTGCGGTTTAAACAAGCTTACAAGAATAAAAATGGACATGTTACAGGACTAAAAGAATATTTAGTTACAAAAGTACATGTTCAATTCTCTTATTCACACTCATTGAAGTTATACATGAATATATGTAGTTAAAGATATTACTTCATAGAGTTGCAAACATGTAGTTAAAGATCTTTATCTCCTCTGGTTTAATTTAATTTAGGGTCATGTCTTATGGGAGTACGAACTAATCTGCAGGATGCTTTTAAGTGGATCGAAATTTTTGGTATAGTCTAGTCTGTTTACGTTTGGTGTGGTTCGACAGATGTTTCTCTATGTGTATTTTATAACTATCTAAGTCGGTTTTGATAAGATTGATCAGTCTGAACTAGTCCAATTAAAAATGTTATCTAAATGGTATCTATTTTATTACTATTATTACTAAATGGTATCTATTTTTTTAAATGACCATTAATTGATTAATTTCTCTTGATACAAATTATATGGACGTTAAAAAAGAGAGATTGGGAGAGAAATGTGCACCCACCAAAGAGGGCAAGAAAGCGTGAACATGGATTTTTCATCAATATACCCTTAGTTCGTTGCATTCTTTTATCTTTATAAATTGGGCGCCAAAGGTTTGAGTCGAGTTTCTTAATGAGTGCAGTTTTCCCCTCATTCCTCTGAATCGGTTCCTTGGCATTACCAGGAACCAAACCCAGATTATAAAACAACATTTTTTGAATAAAAATTGGGAAAAAATGAGAGCATTGTCATGTTGGGGTAGCCTTGTATTGGTGGTGGTTTTTGTGGTGGTAGCACCGGCGGCCGGTGGCGGGCCCCGGAGCGTTACATATGACCGGAAATCTCTGATCATCAACGGGACCCGAGAGCTCATCTTCTCCGGCTCAATTCACTACCCCCGTTGCCCGGAGGAGAAATGGCCGGAGATCATAAGGAAAGCCAAACAAGGAGGGTTGAATACGGTCCAGACGTATGTTTTCTGGAACATTCACGAACCCGAGGAAGGGCGGTTCAACTTTGAAGGGAATAATGACTTGGTGAAGTTTGTAAAGACGGTTGGAGGGCAGGGGATGTACGTGACCCTTAGGGTGGGTCCTTACCTTGAGGCTGAATGGAACTTTGGAGGGTTCCCTTTTTGGCTTAGGGAGGTCCCTAACATCACTTTCCGTTCCTATAATGAACCTTTTATGTACCACATGAAGAGATTCACCACAATGGTCATTGATTTAATGAAGAGGGAAAAACTTTTTGCCCCTCAAGGTGGCCCCATCATTTTGGCTCAGGTAATTTATTAATAATTTTCAACTTTTTTTATAAGACCAACTCCAACAAGCATTAGGGCTGCACAAGAATAACCCGAACCCGCATAACCCGCCCGACCCAACCCTACCCGACCCTATTTAATCGGGTATTTGATTTTTAAAAATATTAATGGGTTAAATATGATTGAACCCGCACCTAATGGGTAGGGTTGCGGAATTAAAATCTCCAACCCGATAGTACCCGACCCGGCCGAAGTTCATTTTACTATTATTATGCTACAATGTTTTCTTGGATAATTTCAATTTAAGACCAATGTGCTCTATCTATGACTTTATGATACTAAAATTATAATTAAACATTTACCATTTTGACTAGGTGATTATTATATATTTATATTTCCTTCTAAAGGATCTTCCTTTATGGAAGGATGTTTTAATACTATTATCTAATGTTTTTGCTTATAAAAGATATGAGTACTTGTGTTTGTTTGTGTGTTTTGAAAACAAACATACACGGTATATTAATATGCACCTAAAACCCTAAACCCTAAACCCTAAAACCCTAAAACCCTAAACCATAAACCCTAAATCCTAAACCCTAAACAAACAAACAAGATATGAGTATGCACCTGAGTGAAAGACGTATATATTTGTTTCTATTAATAATTTGAACTTGAGTCCTGAAAAAGAATTGTGTATATTTATGATAGGAACCCAACGCAACTCGTACTTCAGCATGTCCATAATGTATTCAAAATTTAAGCCAATCTTCATAACACGGTTGATTTAAAACAAACAAACCAATTTAAAACAAGTTAATCGAGTTTTAAATAGGTTACATTAATCTCCCACATAAAGATGCAACCCGAAGTGATTTTTTTTTTCAATACCCGACCCTACCCGACCCGTTCATGCATGGTTTACCAACTTATTTTGCGTACCGCGGGTTCAATAATAGCCAACCCGAAAAAATCGAGTAGGCCCAAAAAATATAGCAAACCCGACCCAACCCGCCCGATGTGCAGCCCTAACAAGCATCATTTATTACACCAAAATGGTGTATTTCCCAAAAAATTGCTCCAACAGTCACTCCATTTTCAACACCATTACACCAAAATGGGGGAGAGTTCACACCAAATATGGCGCACACCAAATGTTCCACCATTTTTTGTTTTAATTTTTTTTATTTCAAAAGTGACCCAAAGTTTTGATTGTTATAGTTTTGACCCATTTTTAAAACAACAAATTAGGATGTTTTTACTTGGACTGAAATTGCTGGTCTGTTCTAGTCTGGTATGATTTGGTCTGATCTGAACTGATGTGGTCAGGTCTGATTTCTTTATATTTTTATAACTACTCAAATTTGGTCAATCCGGTCTGATCTGATCTGGAACAAATCGCAATCCAACTAAAAACCTCCGTATAGAACAAGTAATTAAAATTATTAATTTGATAGAAAATAAAAAAATATAATTAAATTTAAATTACACAATATTATAAATAGAGTTTCAAATCCAAACAACATAATAACAGAATACAAATGATACTTAAGAAAATTACATAATTAAAATTGCAATTAATAACACCATTATAATTAAAATTAAAACATAATTAAAAACATACATAGTACATACTAATTTAGAAATTAGTAGTCATTCAACTGGCTTCCTGACCCTCCAAGACCATCAAATTGATTCCCAAATGCAGTTGATTCCCAATTATTTTTTTTGTAAAATTTAGAAATGACGTACAAATTATTATAATATTATTGTAATATTAATTTTATGTGGTTTTAGCTTGTATTTGTGAAATATTGATTATTGTATTTTAATTAGTTAAATGCGTGAAAATGCATATTAAAATGGTGTATTTTACGGAGTAGTTTGTATGTGTGAAATAATGTGTGAAATGTCAAAATATTAAATGAGGGGCTAATGTATAAATATATGATAATTACATACTTAAACAGAAGAACGGTAAAAAGTTAGTAAAAAGATTAAAAAAAGAATATTCCTTTTTGGTGTTTAAAATGGTGTAAACTGTTGGAGGTAAAATACTGTATGATGTGATGTTTACACCATTTTAGTGTAAAAAATGGTGTAGACTGATGGAGATGGCCTAAGGTGACAACTCCGGTATCTTTCTAAAAAATGGGGTATCGTATCTAACATTCATTTGATTGGACCACATTACCCCGGTAATAAACTGCTACATTTTTATTGGTCCATGTGGACAAATGTATGGTACCTTATGGGTACCATTGAATCTACCTTTTTATAACCGTCCTCCATTTTTAACTTTATGACCAATGATACCATTCATATGTAGTATTCAAAAGTTATTTTACTCTTATTTGAGCAATGATACCCATATTTGAGCATATAATTCATGTTTTACTCTTATTTGCTGCAATTATATATTCTTTATGAACTAATGTGATCAAAATATCAACAGATAGAAAATGAATACGGAAATGTGCAGCAGGCATATAGAGAGGAGGGAAAGAAATATATTAAGTGGGCAGCAGATATGGCCGTTGGTCTATACAATGAAATCCCATGGATCATGTGCAAGCAAAAGGATGCACCTAACAATGTGGTTCGTTTAATATAAATATTTGCCAAAGTTTAAACTAATTAATTAACCACACATCCTTGGCTTTTATCATGAATTTTACTTGGCGGATATATGATTCGGAAGCAAGATACTTTTTTTAGTTAACATTCGAAAAGATTCTAAAGAAAACACGGCAACTGTTTGATTAAAACCGACTGTTTAATATAATAAGTTGTTGTGACAATGGAGGATGGTGCAGATAAGCGCATGTAACGGAAGGCAATGCGCAGATACATTCCAAGGACCTAATGGAGCAGACAAACCGTCATTGTGGACGGAAAACTGGACTGCTCAATATCGGGTTTTCGGAGACCCGCCTTCTCAAAGGGCAGCAGAAGATATCGCCTTCTCTGTAGCCCGCTTCTTTGCCACGGGAGGCAGCCTCGTCAACTATTACATGTACTACGGTGGAACAAGTTTCGGGAGAACAACCTCGTCCTTTGTAACTACCAGATACTATGATGAAGCCCCTCTTGATGAATTTGGTACAAAATAACACTCTATATATTTCTGGAGTATTTTGTTTCAATCAATAATTACATAAAATTTAATGTCTTTTTTTACATTATGTCTCATTTTATTATAGGTCTAAAGAGGGAACCTAAATGGAGCCACCTAAGAGATTTGCACAGAGCTATAAAACTGGCCAAGAAGCCCATCCTATGGGGAAATCGAACTGTTCAAAAGCTCTCTACCGATCTTGAGGTATACTAGCTCTTCTATGAGCTCATTTCTAATAGATTAGAGTAAATTTAGACCAACTGGACTGTATCAAACCAAACTTGATTATGTTATTTACATGTATTCTTTCAGATCATAGTTTATGAGAATGCAGATATGAAACTGTGTGCAGCCTTCTTGACAAACAATAGCACAAAGAACACGACCGCCGTTAATTTTCGAGGTGCAACTTACTATTTGCCAGAAAAGTCCGTTAGCATTCTCCCGGATTGCAAGACTGTCGTTTATAACACTCAAACGGTAAGCGTCAAAATTATACTCTCTCCGTCCCGGTCAAAAGAAATGATCGGGACGGAGGGAGTATATACTACCGTACGTGTTTGGATGATTCCAATTAAGCATTTAACTTGTGCTAGTAAAACTTGCAGATAGTTTCCCAACACAATGCGAGAAACTTCCACCCTTCCAAAATTGCAAGGAATCTGAAATGGGAAATGTTCCAAGAACCCATTCCCACCTTTGACCAGTTGTCGATCAAGAACCAAGTCCCCCGCGAGTTATATAGCTTAACAAAAGACGCCTCCGATTACGCCTGGTACACCACTAGGTACGTATAGACTGTATAGTACACCCGCCCTTCTCAACTTCACCTTTTACATCACACAAATTATTCACTCTTCAACCAAATAACGAGTACTCCCTCCGGTCCTAAATAAAGTTCACTGTTTGACTTCACACAAATTAAGGAAATAAATTTGAATTCCATGTTGTGACACTGTTTGACACCGTTTGGCATTGTTTTGCACTGTTTTACACTTTTTTGGTGTAGCTAATTTGCCAAATAAGGAAGGGAGAAAAAGTGTGAACTTTATTTTGGAATAACCCAAAAAAGAAAGTGTGAACTTTATTTAGGACTGAAGGGAGTATAATTTTGTTTGATTTATAATTTTAGGTGTCCGGACTCTGGACTGACTTCAATTCCAGACTAGACTTAAACAAATCAGATCTGATTAGATCAGACATTGACAATTGTAAAAAAAGACATAAAGTAATTATCTATCAACCAAATAAGACTTAAACAAATTAGACCATAAAATTATACTCCAATTAAAAATACATTGATACCCCTAAGGATTGGCAACAACAAAGTCAGATGTGCATATTATTCAGAATAAGTTCCACTTTTGGTCCTACGAGTATCGCACCAATTCCACAATTATCTACGTCTTTGACTTTGACCACTTTTGATACATGACTATTGAGTTTTCGCCCATGTACAATCCTTCAAGCAATGTTTTCGGTGGTTAAAATCGCCAGAGAAGAACTACAAATGGTCAAGAAACAGTGGTCGAATTACTCAAGTGTCAAAAGTGGACAAAGTGAAATAAATGGACGAGATGTGAAATTGACGTAAAACTCACATGACAAAAAGTGGAATTTATTATATTTTTGTGACAATTTTTTGTTGCATTCATACGTAATAAACGCTTGATATGTTTCAAGCGCGCTAGTCAATAAAATGTATCAAAGAATGTATATATTCTATATTTCTATCTTACTAAAAGTTTGATAATGCATGGCAGAATCCACTTTACCCGCCGTAACTTGCCAATGAGGAGTGACATCCTTCCAGTTCTCCAGGTTGCAAGTCTGGGCCACGCTTTGCTTGCATTTGTCAATGGCGAATTCGCGGGTAATTATAAATATACTCACTTTCATTAGATCATCTCCAACGAAAGAAGTAGATAAGAGACGAGAAATAAACACATAAAAATAATTGAGTAATCTTTTTTGTCAATCTCTTTTATTGGTTTTTATTATGTCAGTATTTTTCGGCATGACATCAAGTACAATGTTTTAACTAGCGATTGTGATTGACATTGTGCATAAAATACCAAAATTTTAAAGGTTATTGAAACTACGAGATATAATATGTATTTACATACTCCCTCCGTCCCGGTCATTTCTTCCAATTTCCTTTTTGGGCCGTCCCAATTAATTCTTCTAACTTCCACTTTTGGAAAAAATATGCGGTTCATATTCATTCACATTTATCTTACACAATTACAACCATACATTTTTACTTTATTCCCACTACCTAAATTTGCGATACCGGTCAAAACCGGAAGAAATGACCGGGACGGAGGGAGTATAATACTTTGTGTGTACATGCAATAGGGCATTTCACTAGCTCATAATCAATCTAAACGTATATTTGGTTTTGAAGATTGTAAAAACATGTACATTTGCATATGTACTCTTATAATAACATGGATGAATTTTAGGGTTTGGTCATGGAAGCAACATTGAGAAGAGCTTTGTGTTGCAAAAGCCTATTAATTTGAAGCCAGGGATTAATCACATCTCTCTATTGGGCCAGACAGTTGGCCTTCCGGTAAAATATTTGATCTTGAGCTGTGTTTGATTACCCAATATATATGAAACATGTTTTAATATACTTAATTACCCATAACAAAACTTGAAAGATAAAAAGTAAATTGTTTTTTCACGATTCTTTTCTCACAAAATAAATTATTCCATGATTTAAAAGTACTAGTTTTCAATTTTATAAATATATACACACACACACTGAAATAATAATTCCTTATAATTATAACTAATATATTTATGATGAAGAAATCTACACAATATAATTAACACCAATAATGTGTTTTAATAATTATTTACCCGTGATTATGAATAAAGAATAGTGGAGCCTACATGGAGAAACGGTATGCCGGACCAAGAGCGGTTACGCTTCAAGGTTTGATGGATGGAACTTTGGATATCACCATGAATGCCTGGTCTCATTCCGTACGTTCTACCCTTTTAACATTATGTTTATAGATAAATCGATTAGAAATTGCTCTAAATATGAGCAAAAACGTTTTGAAATTCCAAAATAGGGGTATCATATTTTTTATTCCCTGAATATGAGTAATCTGTCAAGTTTAGAAAACAAATGCCATGTTTTAAAGCCTAGTAATGTCAAATTTGGCAGAAATTTACTTCTATTCAAGGAATAAAAAACATGATACTCATATTTTGGAATTTTAAAACTTTTTTAGTTCTATTTAGGGAATTCTCTCTAAATTGCCACGTAGTAGTTGTGTTGTATGGCTAGGAAACCCCATTTTCTAATATCTAAAAATAGAAAGTCATATACTTTATGTTTTTGTTACTTTTACAAATGTCAATTAAATTCCTTCAATATGCTTTAAGTATATCCAATATATTAAGTTATTACCTCCGTCCCAGTCCCAATGAGTTCTTCCTAGTCTAACTTGGCCCGCAAATTTAGAAAGTAAGAATAAAATGAAAATGTATGATTGTAGTTGTGTAAAAAAAAGGTGAATGAATGTGAACCACATATTTTTTCCGAAAGTGAACGTTGTAAGAATTAATTGGGACGATCCAAAAAGGAAAGTTAGAAGAAATCACCGGGACGGAGGGAGTATTTCATATCCACCAGATATAAAAATAGAAACTAACATAATAATGTTGGATAAATAATTGTACATGACCAAATAACTTCTTTCTTAACTAACTTTTAAGTGTGTGAACTATTTGTACTTCGAATTTGAAATTTAATCAAGAATTCAATGTCTTGGTGGTTTATTTGTGATTGAATATCACTCAACTGTTACAGGTAGGTCTTTTGGGCGAAAGCCTTCGTCTATTTACCGACGATGGTGTCAACAATGTGACGTGGTCTCCATGGACAAAAACATCATCTCCCCTTACTTGGTACAAGGTAACTAAGCAGTGACTTTACTAGAGATCCATATACTCAATTTCACACAATAATGTTGATTTAATTAGCTTGTATCTTTATATTTAATAATAATAATAATAATAATAATAATGCATGGTCTCATGGTGGGAACTCGTGTACAGACATACTTTGATGCACCTGAAGGCAATAACCCAGTGGCGTTAAGGATGGAGAAGATGGAAAAGGGAATGATTTGGGTGAACGGAAGGAGCCTTGGTCGATACTGGGTCTCCTTCCTTTCCCCAATGGGACAACCAACCCAATCAGAGTACCACGTTCCAAGAGAATTCTTGAAACCAAAGGACAACTTATTGGTCGTTTTCGAGGAAACCGGAGGAAACCCCGAGACCCTTACGATTGAGACAGTAAACCGAGACACAATTTGCAGCATTGTACCGGAGTACGCTCCCCCACACGTGAAATCATGGGAGAGGTTTGGGAGCGAGTTCCGAGCGACCGTAGAAGATTTGAGATTAGGCGCACGTCTAACTTGTACCGAGGACAAGATCATAAAGAAAATCGACTTTGCTAGCTTCGGAGATCCCGATGGCACTTGTGGGAACTTGTACACCGGAAACTGCACCGCATCCAACACCCTTAAAGTCGTCGAGGAGGAATGCTTGGGGAAGCGCCGGTGTACGGTTCCTGTGGATAGAAATGTATTTGTGCAGGAGGATGGTAAAGATAATTGTGCATATATGTACAAGACACTCGCTATCCAGGCAAGGTGCGGGCGAGATAGGGACTAATCATTAACTAATCATGTAAACACTTGATCATTTGTCATCAACAAACCTATGCCGCTTCCCCACCCTAGAAGTTAAAGAAAAACAAATATTATTTGGTTTTTCAAACAAGCACTTTCATGAACAAGAAAAACACAGTAACCCAAACACTTGTTTTGGGGTAGCTTGCTTTCTTCCAAAAGGATACTCTCACTGACTCACTGTCTTTCAAATTTTTGTCAAGTTTGACAGGCAAAATGATTAATAAACTAAAATTTGTGTGGACGTGTGGTTGATATTTGTGTAAAGAAAAAAGAAATGATAGAAATCACAAATTAATTAATTAAAAGGGAAATTGATAAAGTTTATGAAACAACCAAAAAATGAAAGATGTAAAAGTTTTAGGGGATGAAAGGAGTAGTCTTCGGGCTCTAGATCACCTGAATCGGTTCAGTGAATACATGCATGTGACATAATCAACTTCTCAAGTTTTTTAAAAAATCTGGATTAATCTAAAAATCGGGGTTGACTATCCTTGAATTCTTAAAACATTAAATTATGTCTTCATCGAAAAGTATTATATTATAGTGAAGTCGTAGTAATAATAAAATAAGGAATACAATAACACAACTGCAGGGATTGAAATTTACCTTGTTTTGAATATTTAGAAATATACAATATATAATAGGGTTTTTTTCTTTGAATATTACTCCCTCCGTCCTAGTCATTTCTTCCAACTTTCCTTTTTGAATCGTCTCAGTTAATTCTTCCAACTTCCACTTTTGAAAAAAATATGTGGTTCACATTCATTCACTTTTTTCTTACACAACTACAACCACACATTTTCACTTTATTCTCACTACCTAAATTTGCGATACCGGTCAAAACCGGAAGAAATGAGCGGGACGGAGGGAGTACTAATTTGAAGCTCATTTCAAAAAAATATGACCATTTTTTCAAAAGGACAAAAACGAGACTAAAAGGGTCACATATTTGAAAAAACTTGATGTCACTGCCATTTTTTATGTCACTGTCGGATTTTTATGTCACTACTAAATTTTTATGTCACTTTTGAAATGTTAGTACCAGGTTTCATGTCACTTTCAGATGTCACTATATCGGAAAACGTGTCACTGTGTCACCGGAAAAATATTCCGGCGACTTTTCTCTATCAAATTTTTCGCCGGAAACCATCACTCATCTACCGCATCGACCGACACCGCCACGTGAAACCACCCACGGCCCCTCACCCAGCCCCTCCCCTGCACCCCCTGACCCCTCCCCTGCACCCCAACCCCCTCCCCTGCACCTCCATCAACCACCCCAGCCCCCCTACACCTCCATCCCCCTGCCCTGCTCCCCAGCCCCCCCTCACCTGCTCCCCCAGCCCCCTCCCCAGCACCCCAGCTCCCTCCCCTGCACCTCCATCAACCTCCCCAGCACCCTACACCTCCACCCCCCTTCCCTGCTCACCCAACCTCCTCACCTGCTCCCCCAGCCCCCCAGCACCCAAGCCCCCTCCCTTGCACCTCCATCAACCTCCCCAGCCCCCTACACCTCCATCCCCATCCCCTGCTCCCCCTAGCCCTTCACCTGCTCCCCCAGCCCCCTCCCCAGCACCCCAGCACCCCACCCCCCTCCCATGCACCTCCATCAACCTCCCGAGTCCTCCTACACCTCCATCCCCCTCCCCTGCTCCCCCTGCCCCCTCACTTGCTCCCCTAGCCCCCTCTCCTGCACCCCCAACCCCCTCCCGTCCCTTTGACTTGGCCCCAACCACCTGAGAAACCAATCTCACCATCGGTTGTCGCCTACCTAGCTAACCCAACTCAAACCCCCAATCATCACTCCCAAACCCTAGCCTCAACCCCCCCATCATATCCTAGCCCGATCTGATTCCTGAACGAGAAGAATGAAGGACAAAAATAAAAATGACGATGGCGATGTAGAGATGATTGGAGGCAGCGGCGAGTGATGAATGGAGACGAAGATGGTGACGAAGATGAGCAGCCGTTCACAGATCCAGGGGAAGAGATGGCGATGAAGGAAGATGCTCTGCGAAGAAGGAAGATTCACATATCTGAGGCAAGACGAGGCGAGGCGGAGGTGGAGTTGAGGCTGAGTCGAAGTCGAGGCGGAGGCGAGGGCACCAGTTTGGGCACAAGAAGGAAGTTGTTCTACGACTGTGGGAAGTTTTGCGCAGAGAAGTGCGCTCGGAAGATGGCATAGAGAAGAAGTGCGGCGAGTCAGTTTTGTGGACTTTTCCAAACTGGTCATACTTTTATCAAACACAAGCTGAGAAGTAATATTGGTGTCATTCTTTCTATATAATATGATTTGTTTGGGAAATACCAAATTCATATATTCAATAAGAAATATTTAATTACAGTGAACAAATAATAGACCCAACAATATATGCTTTAAATGTATTTACTACTGAGTATACATATATAATTATATGAACTATATACTCCCTCCGTCCCTTTAACTTTGTCCCGTTTTACCTTTTTCTTCCGTCCCATTAAGTTTGTCCCATACCATATTTGGTAATATTTGGGTGGCTATAATTCATTCTTACTTTATTCACACTTTATCAATTCAATCACAACCACACCATCCCATTTTTTCTTAAAAGTTGTGTCACACCCTCTTGTCCCAAACATAGTGGGATGGAGGTAGTAGTTTTTAATGGTAAACGACTTATATTAAATCACTTTGAACTCAAAGACATATAACTAGACAAAAATTCATGACCCGATCTTGAACACTTCGACTAGACATAGGATCAATCACCCATATAAGAGTAATACGACCCGCTGAGCATGAAGCTGGTAACTGCAAGCTAATGAAGACCTTAATAGAAGTAAAAACATTTGAAAATTTCAAAATAAGAGTGGTATGATTTTATCTTTACATATGAGTAATTGTTGTCAAGCTTTATAAATATACTACGGAATATCACTTATGCGAGTATACTGTCACATTTAAAGTTTGACAATACTGGCAATGTACTTCTATTTAGGGGAAAACGTAGCAGTGCTATTTTAGAATTACCAAATGTTTTTACTCTTATTTTGTAAAATTTCCCTATGATTTATCTAGTATAGTAAATTTTTACTGCTCTAGTTGATAAAGTGTATGGGCCCACAAGCTCACGCCCATGGACCACATATTCATAGCATATGTGTTAGTATATACTCCCCCATCCTGAGAAGGTTTGCCAAATTGACTTTTCTTGGTCAATGATAATCAACTTTAACCAATGAAATTTTTTAATACAAAATTATTTTGAATATAAAAATTATATCGAAATCACAAAATGTTCCTTATTCAAAATATTTTCTAGAAAAGTATAAAATTTACAAATTATATATAAATATGATAAATAAAATCATCGTCCAAAGTTTGTCATCATTGACCAAGAAAAGTAAATATGACAAACCTTTTCGGGACAGAGGTAGTATGTCCTAGCGACAATCACTTTTGAGAGATATATGTATTTGATCACATTGAGTTTTATATATTTGATAAATAAGGTATTACACATTGATGATTAAGCATTTTGATTGTCATTGTCTTATTCATAATTGTGTTCCCTTGAACTTATGTTGTCAATAAGTAAATGAGACTGTGTGAGCTTATATGATATACCATAACGTCATAAAATAGTCTCAATTAATGATTATCAAGAAAGAGATATTGATGACATGCAATAAGATTGGTGTGTTATTACGTATCTATTAGTTATTTTTGGTCAAAAGAATATTGTCATTTAAATTAATAAGAGTATATCTCTAATTAGATACGGTAGTTTCCTTCTAGGATTGTAATTCTCCTTTCCTATTGCTGATTGTATGCTTCGGTATTAGCTATTTATTCATAGCGCCGAACCACATAATGGATCAAGCCAATTACCTCTAAAACTACTTTTCCTTTGAGACTAATTTGATATGGTATCAGAGAGTTAAAATAGCTACATGGCTATTGGCGACGATCGAGACACCGGCAGCCATGTGCAGGGCAGGTCGGACCATACTTTACCCTTTTATCTTGGACCGCAAGAAAGACCGGGTGATTTCATCACACCGGTACGATTAACAGGAGACAATTGCGACAGTTGGGCAAGCGCCGTCCGATTAGCATTGAGAGCACGACGAAAATATGTGTTCGTTGACGGCACAATTCATAAACCAGTTGCTCCATGGATGGAAGAGGACTGGTTGACGATACAGTCCATGCTGGTTTCGTGGCTTCTTAATACGATATCGGCGGAGGTTAAATGTACCCTTTCTCAATATGAAGAAGCTCGTGAGCTTTGGAAGGATCTCCAGGAACGATACTCGGCAGTTGATGGGCCAAAAATACATCAAGTAAAAACCGATCTTGCCAAATGTTCTCAAGCACGCGGGATGAACGTGGGTACATATTATGCTAAATTAAAAATCCTATGGGATGAATTAAATAATCACGAACCCATTGTCGCGTGTACCTGCAAAGGCCGCAAGTGTGATTTCGCTAAACAACATGAAAAGAGAAGGGAGTCCGAGCGTTTCCATCAATTTTTGATGGGACTGAATTCTGAAATTTTCGTAAATGTCAGGTCTCAGCTTCTCACGCAAGTCCCTCTGCCCACGTTGAATCGTGCGTATCAGCAAATTACACAGGAGGAGCGAGTGCAAGGCATGAATACCAATGTTGAACCTCAAGAAATCTTGGGTTTTGTAGTCAAAACTCACGGTCAAGGTGCAAAATGAGGAGCCAAACCGGATAAAGCAGGCCTTGTGTGTACATATTGCAAATATACAGAACATGATGTGACTTCTTGCTTTGAGTTAAAAGGCTATCCGGACTGGTGGGGTGACCACTGTCACGGACTTATTCAGGAGAGTCGTGACACCACCCACGGGCTGATAGCAAAGGAGTTGGAAGGAGGAAAGGTGTTGTAATTGCTCAAGGGAAAGATCATGGACACATCACATCAGGCGCTAAAGTGCATGCGGCAGTCAGAGAGACATCACGACGAGATGAGGAGACAGATGGAATCGCTTCTGGTGCAGGGGCAGACTCACCTCTGCCTGGGTTTACAGCGGAGCAGTGGCACACTTTGGTCGCGGCATTCGGTAATACACAACCTTCAAATAACCGGATGACGGGTAAGCTTTGTAGCAATTCTTGGATGATTGACACAGGGGCTACAAATCATATTCGTAGCAATACGATTTTTTTATCTAATATGAAACCGATTAATTCATGTTCGGTTAGTTTACCGGACGGGGAAT